ATTGTGGTTTCAGTCAGTATTTTAAAGCGGTTGTATCAGGAATAGTTTCACTTTGACCATGAAGTCCACTTTCTGCTCCGTAGGGGGAAGTTCGCTGTGGTGAAGCGCTGCGTGGAGAAGACCACGGGCAAAGCGTTTGCCGCCAAGTTCCTGCGGAAGAGGAGGCGAGGTCGCGACTGCCGGGCCGAAGTCATTCACGAGATGGCCGTCCTGGAGATGGCCCGCAACAACGCCCGCATCGTCAACCTGCACGCCGCTTACGAGACGGATCACGACATCGTCTTAGTGCTGGAGTAGTGAGTTCACAGCAGCAGACGATTATATAACCTCTGTGTTTTTCTCTCTGCCACAAACAAGCAAAAACACGCAGCAGAGGGATCCTGCAGACGCCTGCTGAAGGGCAAAGTCCCGAGCAGTTGCCACACTCGCTGCTGGTTTTATGTAATCCACATTCTTACAAACAGGTTTATTAGCAGTCCGCTCACGTCCGCCGTATTACTGTTCATCTGGAGTTTCTTTGTGCCATCACAACAGAAACTGGACGTGAGATTAGATCGTAAATAGGAACACACGGCGTTTTTCTTAAAGTCTTTCTCGGACTTTCTAACCACACCTTTTGATACTTGTTGTTACAGACGACTAAATCCCTTCCCGAGAGCAGAAACAGCCGAACAACTCACTGTTGATCTAAGAAACAACAACTCAAAAAGGCCCTAGAGAAACGAGAATAACCTGAACTGTAGTAAAGTTTGTACTTTGGACTCTGGGCGTAATTTTGGGGCTGTGAGTGAACGTTTGGCTCCAGTGCTTCACAGTGAGTAAGCAGGAAGGTGGTTGCCTTCTTGCCGACACATGCAGGATCAAACCGGTGACCCTCCGGCTGTGGGTTGGCCACTAAAACCACAGGGCCGCCCAGCAGTCCCTGAACGCATCATTGGTGTTTGTCCGTTCACAGTTGTGTTTGTGTATTTACAGCGTGTGTGTGTTTTCTCTTTGCTCAGCGCGGCGGGCGGAGAGATATTTGACCACTGTGTGTCTGAGGAGCTGCTGCACGAGGCCCAGATCACCCGTCTGATCCGGCAAACACTGGAGGGAGTCCACCACCTCCACCAGAGTAACCTGGTCCACTTAGACCTGAAGGTCCGTCCACACAGAAAACCACAGACATGAGAGTATCTGGAGCCCGGAGAAGCTATTTTTACATGTTTACCCCCCCTCTTTAGTGTATTCCCTGTTTTTTTTTAGAGCAGTTGTGAACTCAAAACCCCAATTTCCTATTTCCATGACCCAGTTGAGCACACAGCGAGGATTATGGGTGGTAACAGAACCCCTCACCCGGGGCAGAGTGTAAAATGAGTGCAGTACTGACACCAGGCTGTTAAATGAAAGTGCAGTTATCTGTTTGTAGGTGGAGTCCAGTGGTTAACATTTACAGTAACACAGCGGGCACATTCTGTACTCCTCAACTTCTCTTCTGCAGAATTATGTAATAACTGAATAATGGTGTTTATCCGGTGTCACACGGTCAATATATTTTAATCACTTGAACAAATAATCAAGCGCTCACAGGAAGGTTGGCACCTCTCTCCCTTTGAGTGCAAAAACATGAGTGAGCATTCAAAGAGAGAGGCCTTGGGAACAAGCTTTGAGTTTAAAGTCCGTCTTATCTCTTCGGCGCTTCTGCTTTCTGCCGCACATGATGTTCACCGTGTGTTTCCTCTCTGTTTCCTTCTCAGCCGCAGAACATTCTCCTCACCAGCCTGTCGCCTCCAGGAGACATAAAGATCGTAGACTTTGGTCTGGCACGCAGGCTGGGTGCGGTGGGAGAGCTCAGAGAGATACTTGGCACACCTGAATATGTGGGTAAGGTGATGCTGGTAATAAAACACTGATTACATCAGACAGGATATCACCAGCTTAACCACATTAGAGTTAGAGTCAGGAGACCAACAGACACAGACGCAGCAGAAATACCAAACCTACACATCACTAGTGGTGAAATAAAACAGCATGGGGTTAGAAATGATACAGGAAACTACAGAGGACATTCTTTTAATATTGAATCTCAGCTGACTTTGTCTTTCGTCTTCATTCAGCGCCGGAGATCCTGAATTATGAGCCGATCACAACAGCGACTGACCTATGGTGAGTCCGTGTGTCCAGGAGTGTTTCAAGTATTTGTTGAGGTTATTCGAAAAGACAACGCGTCTCAAAACGAGCAGAAAACGTACTGATGGAAGCAGAGAAGAGTGCTGGTTAACGGAGGATTTTATAATTAAACTATGAGCAGGACGCACACTCTTACTTTCTCCGACTGTGTAGAAATCTGATGTTTTTATATCACAGATGACAAAGAAAGGCATTAAAATGTGA